TTGGAATCCGGAATACAGCTCAAGGAATCCCACTAACGATTGGAATCCAGTATCCAAGTTCCACTGACAAAGACTAGAATCCAGCACCCGGAATCTACGGCGTTTAATCCAGAATCCAAGACTGTCTTGGATTCCCTTACATGGGGCGATTTATTAGTCGGAGGTAGTATGGGCCTGGGCTAAGCTGTCTACCGTCGGCTTCATATTATTTTTCTGCCTTTGTGTCGCCAAAGATGGGGAAATAGTGCCTTTTAGCGTTCACGAGGCTTCATCCTTACTTTCGGCGGCGGGGGAGAGGGGGTGGGGGGGATGGAGGTTTTGCTGCTCCATTTTAGTCTGTCCAATATTGATGAGGAGGACATTGACTAGTCTCTACTGATCGATCTAATACCCCCCACCCCCTTTGATTGTAAGCTAAAATGAAGATGTGTTTAAACCAAACCTACTTCGCTCTTGTAATGTGTCCTCCTAAGAATGCTACGATGAATTCCTTCTGAGGTCTTTCTTTACTTTATCTTGAAGTTTAAACCTTATTGTCAGTGTTTTTTTATCCTTGTGTGTGTGTGTGTGTGTTTACATCCATTACATAAATATGTCTCTGAAGCTATCCTCTTTTCAATGCCTTTTTCAAAAAGTCGGGGGAACTTACTTATATAAGTCCTATAGCTATGTGCCGCCCCAAAGAGTAGGGATTTTGCGCCGTTTTGGTCTGAAAATGGGTATAGGTTTGCCCATTTTGGTCTGGGGTCGGGTATGGCTTTCCAGGGAACTACGCGAGTGTATGAAGGTATTTATCGTTTCAATTCCAAATGAGTACCCTGGTAAGAGAGAAAGAGAAATATGCGAAGTGGAATGTTTGCTGTTCTAATCTAAGCCGTAATGACATAATTTCTTAGAGGTCGGGTCTGAAAACGGGTATGGATTCTAAAGGCCAGGTCTAGAAACGGCTGTGAAAAATGACATTTTTTGGTCTGAAATAGGGTCAGGATTTGGAGAGCGGGGCAGCACACCCCCACCAAGAATTCCCAAGAGTACCCCCGGGTTCAAAAGACAGTTGAATGAGCTGCTTTCGAGGTTTCTCCTTCATTTTATGTTCAAGTTTAAACTGTTTAATAAGTGTTTTTTCTCCCAAAAGGGGACAGCGAATTCCCCTCCGCTATGTGATTTCTCTTCTGTGGTGAAAAAACATTTCTAGCAAGGAAGAATGTCCTGTTTATCGATAGCCCCGTTAACTCAAGAAGCTGAAAAGATTGAAAACCATACCCTGTCCAGCGGCACATCCCCATCTATCCCCCCCCCCCCCCTTTTT